TCAGAGCCAAGCCCTGTTTTGGGGTGGGGAAGGGAAAATAGAAGCTTCAATAAAAACAATGAGGACTGATCAGAAATAAGCAATGCACCCAGGTGAAACCCATCCACTTGGGACCAAGAGTCATGGTGATACATTCTTCACCCCACCTGACACCGAAACTGGGGACCAGGCTGAAATAGATGGAAAACATGAAAACAAGACTGTAATCATGACCAGGGAAGACAGCCAGAGAGCGGGGCGGGAGCTCAGAGGGTGCCTACCCTAGCCATTGCCACGCCCGTTCACAGGGAGCTGCAGAGATGCCCCTGGGATTCCACAGACCATGGCGCATTTCTTGCCAAGAAGATGACTTGCCACTTGGGGAACCTATTCGAGCGTTTAATCACTTTTGTTCTGGTGCTAAAGATTGGAAAGACAGTGATAGATGGCAGCGCCTCTCTTTTATAGAGAGATCTAAAGCCCAGACAGAATGATTGACTTGTTTGAAATAACGTTAAGGGCAGAGTTTCCAACCCAAAGGTCCACATCCCTTGTGGCATGTGAGACAGACACTGCTTACTCCTTCCAGTTTACAGATGATGCCAGATGTGGAGCTCCATCTTCCCCAAATCTAGGGAAGTGTTAGCGACAGCCCTTTTCTGCATTAGGAGGCGAGGCTCAGAAAGACTCTAAGATGGAAGAATTCCCACTCCCTGAAATTAACCTCCTAAGATTGCTCTGGGCCCCAAGACAGACCAACCTCCAGCCTCCATATGCGGTCTCCTTTTTCCTTTTTGCCCTTCTGGACTTGGTCTGGGCCTATAAACTGGGACTGAGTGAGAGGGACCTGGGTTCCACCATTTCTCTCATTATTTCTGAATGGGCTCTACCTCTATTGAATGCCCCAGAACAGCTAAATCAAATCTCATAAGAGTCCTCAAGATCTTAAAGCTAAAAGAAAACCTTGAGGTCATTCACTTGAAGCCCTTAATTTTGCAGATGAGGAGACGGAGGTCCAAAAAGGCCACGTGACTTAAAAGTCACCAAGTAAAAGTCACCAAGTAAAACCCAGGATTCCAATTCAGTCTTCCTAATTCCAGATAAGCATGACATCATTCTCCCATTTCGATCCACTCAGAGTAAATCAACACAGGCTTACGGAATGTCTACTAGGTGCATTTTAGGAAAGGAAGAGCTGGAGGAAGGACACGTGGGAAGAAATCACAAATCAATCCAAAAGAAACTGCAAGGGAAAGGCGGGAGCCAGGGATGCATCTATTATCCTTAAGAAGCTTATAATCCTGAAGGAAAGACTAGGCTATATCCAACACAAGGCAAAATGTAAATGCTCCCGAAAAGGATTACACATGTTAGATCGAAGCAAAGAAAGTTTAAGATGCCTGAAAAAGGCTTCAGGGAGGAGGTAACATTTAAAACAGGTTAAATCACTCAACACACATTTCAGTTCCCTTTTCCTTGGCCTTTAGAGGCTAGAAAGCTTAAAATCTTCCCAGGCTCCCTTGCAGCTGGGGGTGGCAAAGCAACTCTGTTCTGGCCAATGAGACATTTGTAGATTTTTTTCTAGAGCAGCTTCTACCACTTTTACCTCTTTCTTTCTACTTGGGACTTCTAAAATGCCTACAGCCACAGCAGTGTCACTATAAAGAAGTTGTAATGAGAAGATGAAAAGAACTAGGTTCCTGGATGGCATCCCGGAACTTCCAAACCAGCCTTAGACTGCCTGCTCCTGAACTTCTTGTTGTACAAGATACATTAAGCCCTATTTAGTTCAACCAGTGCAGCAGAACTTTCTTAAATGCAAATGAACCTGAACATTACTGGTTCACATCATTGTAAAGAGTCATGGGATTTCAACAAGCAGAGGCAGCAGAAAGCTGTGAGCCAAGACTCTAAGATGGGGAAGCATGAGGCATGTGCTTGGCTCAGCAGAAGAGAGCATACAGGGAGATCAGAAGAGGAATTGAGAGAGGGAGGGTAGAGTTGGGGGTGGAAGATCAAGGGGGCTCAGAGAGTGGATGTGCTTCATTCCAAATGCAGAGAGGAATTCTTGGAAGAAGTGATGAGTGCCATTTGTGGGAGCTGCGGTTAGTTCCTTGGCGCTGAGCAGGCGGGGTGGCTGCTGAGAGCCTGCAGCCAGAGTGGGTGGCTTCATTCATGCTATCTGTGATGCATCTATTACATTCCTGTTTGCTTAGGATTTGCATGGGACACTGGGAACCACAATACCGCAAACTCCCTTGCATCCTGAAAGCCCTATTCGCACTGTGTTACTGTCCTCCCACCAGCAATTACCAGGCTGGCAAACCGCAGGGAGCTGCACCAGCCCTCTGGCTTCTAAAGCTGCCCTGCTTTGACTACGGCTTCTGCTGCAGGGTACAACTGCCTGTTCTAGGAATGGCCTGAGATGGAAGTGATAAAAAGACAGGCCCATGAAAATAGAACATGGTCAGAGGTCATTAACAGGAAACCTGTCCAACCTTCCACGGCTCTGAACAAGTTCAACAAAGAAATCCTTTCCTAGTTTCCTTTCCTACACATACTCAGCCTTCCATATCTGCTGGTTCTGCACCTCTAGATTCAAACAATTTCAGACTGAAAATATTTGAAAAACTTTTTTTTTCAGCTGTGCAGAATATGTACAGACTTCTTTCTTGTCATTATCCCCAGCAACGTAGATAAGAACTATTTACATAGAATTTACATTATATTGCTGGGTGCATGCCTATAATACCAGTGACTTGGAGGCTAAGGCAGGAGGATCACAAGTTTGAGGCCAGCCTCAGCAACTTAGTGAGACCCTGTCTCAAAATAAAAAATAAGAAGGGCTGGGGGTATAGCTCAGTGGTAGAGCCCTCCTGAGTTCCACCCCCAGTACCATACACACACTATACATACACACACCCAGAATTTATATTAGTTATTATAAATAATCCAGATGATGACTTAAAATACACAGGAGGATTTACATAGGTGTTTTCAAATATTGTCATTTTATATAAGGGAGTTGAGCATCACTGTTTTGGGTCTTCAGGGCTCCTGGAACCAGTCCCTGTGGACACCCTGGGGTGTCTGTATGTTTTTCTCCACTTTAGACACAGGAGTCAGATGATGCTATGGAAAAAATACTGCTTCCATGTGCTCCCAACTCACTGTGTGAGCTCAGAAGAGTGGCTCACTAACAAAAGAACAAACAAAAGAACAAAACAAAACAAAACAAAAAAATCCTACCCCTTCAAACTCCCCTACCCACTTATTCAATGAGAGGTTTGGACCAGAAAAACAAAATTTCATCCTCCTCAAATTTTTTCCTTAAAAAAAAAAAAAGCGCAACTTAAAAATTTTTAATTGACAGATAACAATTGGGTCTCTTTATGGGGTAAAATGTAGTGTTTTGATATATGTTTATATGGTGGAATAATTAAAAGAAGCAAATTTGCAAATCTATCATCTCACAGCAAGACTTTTTTTTTTTTTTTGTGGTGAGAACACTGAAAATCTCCCCTCTTTAGCAAGTTAGAAATAGGTGATGCCTTATCAATTAGGGCCATTGTTCTGTGCAATGGATCACTAAGGATTATTCTTATCCAGCTCGAAATCTGGGTTCCTCAAGAATGCTCAGGGCTGGGTTGGGGCTCAGTGGTAGAGAGCTTGCCTAGCACGTGTGAGGCACTAGGTTTGAGTCTCAGCACCACATATAAATAAATAAAATAAAGATCCATTGGCAACTTCAAAAATTAAAAAAAAAAGGTCGGACCAGAGCTTCCTGTGCAGCCAGCAGACAGCCCCCTCTGCCCATCTGACATTCATGGCCTGGTGTTGGACGTGCTGTGAGTCTGCTCAGAGTCCCCACTTAGTTCCTCCAGGGCATGAATCTTGTTTTCTCCCCCATCAGCTGACATAGCAGAAACTCAATAAATCTTTACCAAATACATTAGCGAGTGGCCGCAGTGGCTCACTAATGATGAGGGCCTTAGGAAAGAAGTGGAGATGCTCTCAGAGCCTGGGGTCAGAGCAATACACGGCACCAATGAGTGGCCATCAGTGAATGGCTCCCACGCTCAGGGCAATCAGACCAAAGAGAGCGTGAGGTCTGGCTGGTGCTGTTTTTATCAATGAATCCCTTGCCGATGATGTTCTGTGAGAAAAAGGTTAAGGAATTCACTAACCTTACTCTGTGGACATGGGCCTAGGAAGAGCCCTGAGAAATATTTTAGTAAAGATACGTATGTAGCTTCAGGGGATCTAGAACGTCTCCAGTGTACTTATGCACGTCACCTGCTTTTGGAAAATATCTAGAAGCATCAAGATAGTTTAAGAAAGGCTAGCTTACTGTAAAAGTTTTCTATAGTGACATTTTCACATATAAACCATATTGGGGAAGTGAAAAGCCCCTAGACCCCAACATTATCAGTTGTTTCATAAAAAGGGATAATACCTAGAAATGAAGATAGATGCTATTATAATAGTAGTAATTATTATAATTATCTCATTTATTTAGCATCTATTCAACATCGATTGATTATCTAGTATGTGTCGAACACAAGGGACATAAGGATACATAATACAGGGTCCCCTCTATCCAGAACATTACCTAATGGGGAAGAGAAGACAAGTAAAATAAGGTGCTAAGTGTAAGCAGATGTGACGGAGGCAGAAGTTGTTACCTGGAAACTGGACCTTGAATAATGAAGATAATAACATTAATAATAATAATAATACCTCTATATAGTACTAACATGTATCGAGCATCATTCTGAGCACTTAACATGTAATACCCAGCTTAAACCTCAAAAGTCTTACAATGTTACCTTTAGTGTCTGCAAATGAGGTCAGTGAGGTTCAGAGAGGCTAAGTAACTTGCCAAGGGTCACACCACTCTGATAATCTCCCTGAACTCCTTTAGAAGCCTCCTACCACCATCTGAAATATATGTGAGAATTCTGTATTTTATACTATAGTAGAATTGTGTTGATTCAATATGAAAAATTTTAACCACTTACCAGTTCAATTTGCATCTTTCCATGGATCTCTAGGAAGATGTGCCCTTGTTTCTCTTGTGGCCTCACAGATCCCTGGCAACCTGCTGATCCTCAGCTGGAAGGAGAGCTGCAAACCAGGGAGGTTAGTTTAGATGTCTGAACCAGAGATAAATATGAGCACATTCAGGTTTTAAAAAAAAAAAAAAAGTAACTCTTCAAAAATAGCAAGACCTTGACATAACTCAATTATCCATCAAGAGCGAACTGGGTAAGTCAATTGCATTCCTACAATAGAATACTATGACACTTTTAAATGGGATAGATCAGCATGTACAGATAAGGGAAGTTCTTGAAGGTGACATTAAATGAAAGAGAAAAACGTGGACCGGCGAGTAGAGTGTACTTTCATTTGTGTGCAGTATGTGTTGGATGATATCCCTACCTACACACGTTTGTACAGTCAGAGAAAAATTTTGAAAGGAGACACACAAAAAATGAACAGTGAGTATCTCTGGTGGAGGGTACTAGAACTCTTACTGGGAATGGCTTCTGCTTATTTGAGGGCATCAGCAATTGAACCCGGGTCCAAGCAAGGCCAGCATCCACCACAGAGCCACATCCACAGCCACTTGTGGGAACATGAAGTGAGAGAACTTATTGTCATTGCATATCCTTTCATAGTCTTTGAATTTCCACCCTGTGCCTGTATTACTTTCTCAAATAAAAGGAATAACTTAGTCTTAAACATGTTCCAACAAAAAGTTAAAGAATAGTTTTTAAGAAAAAGAAAAATGGAAAAGTCATCTGAGAGCAATTAATGTGGACGGTACACAGGATAAAAAAAAAAAATGAGAGAGAGAAAGTTGTTATAGAGAGAGACCTATTAGAAAGCCACTGTCCCAGAGCAAGATGACAGAAGTTGAACCTGGGAAGCAGCAGCTGGACCAAGGAAGAAGACCGAGAGACATTAAGTTGCAGAAACAGTGAGACTGGGTGTCGAGTCACTGTGCAGGTGTAGTGGATGTGAATGTTAAGGATGACTTCCCTAGAGCTGCTAAGTACAAGGTTCAAAGAGCCAGAAAGTGGGATACAACGAGTTCGGCTTGGACACACTAGATTTGACGGATCTTGGGACCATGGAAGAGACGACCTGCTAGAAATGTGAGTCTCTGGGATTTAGGTTGATAAACTCTCTTTGACCTTATTGCTGGCAATTTCCCAAGTTCTAACAAAACAAGAACAAAAACATCTGCCTATCTGTGTAGCGACGTTAACATAGCGGCCAGCGATGGCTCTGTAGAGAGGCTTGCTTTGCAAGGGTGGCCCTTGATTGACACCTGGGAACTCGCCAGGTCAACAGTTCCCTCCACTAATATGAAACTTGCCCATCATAAAGGTGGCTCGCTGTGCCTGGATCATTTGTGCACACAACAGGATTTATGCTGAATATCTGTTTTCCTTCTAGAAAGTGCCCATGTGACCATCTGGGCATGAGTTTCCAAAGAATATCCCAGGTAGACCTTTGACATGAGTTGTCACAATTTGTCCTGGGAGGAACTGGGCACGTCCTGTGTGACTCTACAGGGAGAGGACACTCTGTAGCTGGCTCCTGGTTCCCTCTGGACTTCTCCCTTTGTTGATCTCACTTTGGATCCTTCCCTTGTCATAAATCCTAGCTATGAGTACAATATGCTGAGTGCTGTGAACCCTTCTAGCAAATTCCAAACCCAGGGACTCTGACACACCTTTCCTGGGTGGAGGTGAGGTAGAAGATCCATTCAAAATCTAAATGTGCAGTCCTTCCTGTACTCCTTATCATCTGCCCATCTGTCTCTTTCTGTCACAGTTCCAGATGAAGATGTAACCTTTAAGTGTTTAAGAAAAGCCTGAAGCTTCTCAAAAAAAAAAAAAAAATGTTGCAAGAGAGGTGCGATCCACAGCTTCACTGTGACTGAGCCCCACCGGCTCTGCAGCCGGCCTCACCTGGCGCATTAACAAAATGCTTGGCCATGACTGCACGATCAGAAAGTGCCTATTAATTCTAGCAGGCGGGGACTCTGATGGCTCCACACTGAAGTGGTTTGGGATTCTCCAGAGACAAATCTCAACCTAGGAAACAAAGACCGATGGTCACAAAAGCCTATAAAATAGAAGGCTTGGGGTGAAACTTCCACCCCTGGCCAGAATCCAGGGTGGCCCCAATTAGGGCAGGATGAGTGAAGAATGAAGCACTTAGGACTTTTGATCTTCCTTATCCCCAAGCCGCCTGCCTGTCCAGGAGTCTGCTCATTCTCCAGCCAGGCCCTGGCTCCAGGGGGTCCCAGTCATAAAGGTGTGTCTCCGGGAGGAGCTGCTAGGACAAGTGATAGTTCCTGCTGGCTTTGCTCTGGGAATCACCAAGGATGCTTCATTAAGAATTGACAGGTGTGGGGTGGGGGTGGGGGTGGCAATAGACTTTTCAGGTCACAGGTGTTTTTTATTTTTTTGTGCTTTTGTTGTTGTTGCTGCCACACCTTGTGAGACAGTATTAAGAGCAAGGCCTGGCAAACCCTTCACTGCCAATCCCCATCATCCAAGGGACTGAACTCATTCCTAGAGCTTTAACATTGGCCGCATTATTTTTTTTCTCTTTATTCTTGCTAGAATATTCCTCACCCCTCCCAGGAAAACCTCATATCACCTGTCTTTAAAGTAACTACCCTATTCATTACAAATGGGAGAGCTTATTGGATTAGGAAGGTATAGAGAACGGACTATTCACACACAGTTTCGAACTTGTACATAAAAGTAGGTCATTGTTTCCTGCGATTATAGAAACCATCTAAATCTTTATAAGACTTAGTCTTTTTAAAGATAATCCTTACTCTTTATTCTTTGATAGAGTTATCTGAGTTCAGCCTTGCCTGGAATCTCTGCTCTTTCTTTTGGTAGTTCACTAAAAAATCTCTAGTTTCTTCTTAGTTTTACCCAGATTCTATTTTTATTTAAGCTATAACAGTTTCTCTATATTCCATTACTTTTCAGAACAACCATAGTTTTGAGTGGTTAAGATCCAAAAAGGCTTGATTTCAAATGCTACCTGTATAAACCTGAGTATAAACCTGAGTATAAACCAAGAATTCATAAATGAGGTTTAAATAAATGCAAAGAAGCTTTCATTTGAATGCAGAAGAGATTATAAATAGATTTATAAATTGGGAGACACAGGTTGTTAGAAACTGAAGAAGTGTGGAGGGGAGGAGGATTGAGTTTTCAAAGGGGGATAATGGGGTGAGCAATAAGTCTTCTGAGATGGCCAACAAGAAAGTAGAAGTCCCAGGATTGGAAACGGTCACACTCAGGGATCTCACATGAGGTCATTCTTTCCAAACATCATTCTTTATCTGGCAGTTAAAGACTTAGGGGTGGGGGGTGGAGAGAGTGTCTGTGATAAACTGCAGCCTGTCAGATGCAACCCCCAAGGCCAAACTGCAGCCATCTTAATTTGTATTTCCAAGCAACTTTGGACAGGCCATATAATCTCATTTCCCTCATCTGAAAAATAGGGGTGGGGAGTGCTATGAGGAGGAAGTGGAATTATTCAGGTGCCCACACTAGGCCTGGCCTGTCCCATGGTGAGTACCAGCTAAACGGCGGTCACTGTGATAACATGACATGCCACAGCTGAGGCTATTTGAGTCTCTGTTCTCCTCAATCTCTCAAGCTCAGATTTGTGAGGCTCTCATACTGACAAAAATATTGACTTTTCTTCCATTTCTTGGTCTTGTTTTTTAGTAATGCGCTACTTGTTCCTCCTTCCTAATCTCCATGTGGCGTATCCTCTAAGACATGTGAGGCCGGTAGGCCCGGTAGCCCTACCACACTCTCCCTGCTTCCTCCCCGCCACCCACTGTTGGCATCTCATCTCTAACCCAGCAGCACGTGTTCACAGAGAGGTGTGCACATTTTCATGTCAGATAAGACATGTTAGATTTTTCTTCCTACAAGTCATCAGGAGTTAATGATTAATGAAGGATTCCAGGAAAAAAGTTTCTTTCCTCATTTAGTTCTGAGTTTTTAAATAACTGGACCAAAGGTCTATGGTTGATGGAGATATCTATGTAACTAATTTTCTTCTGGGGGCCATAAGCCACACACACATTCCAATTTTTCCTCCTGAGGTTCTTCCTGGTCCAGTTCCACCCTGTCTGCCAGCGTTAACAGTGGTTGTAGGGCACATCATCTACTTGTGTGGCTTTCTGGGATCTGCAGGGAAAAAATAAGTATGGAATTCCAATCACAAATCTAGCCAGGGGAGCTCCAAGGGGAGGCAAAGGGGAACTCTTAAATGATAGATTAAAAAAAAAACAAAACCGTAAGGTTTAGCTGTCAGGGAAATGTACATCAAAACCACAAGGGGATACTGCCTCGTACTCATTAGAATGGCTCTCATCAAAAAGACAGGTAATGAGAGCTGGAAAAATTGGAAATCACTCCTACAGTGCCGGAGAGAAGGCAAAATGGTACAGCCCGTTTGGAAAAGAGTGTGACAGTTTCCCGAAAGTTTTATCCTAGGGTTAGCATAGGATCCAGCAATTTCACTTCTAGGCATATGCCCGAGAGAAATGAAAACATTCATCCACACAAGAACCTGCACCCAGATACTTTCTATTAACAGAAAGTAGAGTTAAAAAGTAGGACCAACCCAGATGACCACCGACCAGGAAGTAAACAGAGTTCCGCAATGGGACATTAAACAGTAAAAAGGAATAAAGAACTAAAACATGATGCTCAGTGAAGAAGCCAATCAAAAAGGACTTCATATTATATTGTTCCTTTTAAATGTACAGAATAGGCTGATTGGTTGATTGTTTGTTTGATTTTGAACCAGTCTCACTATGTTATCCATGCCAATCTTGAACTCCTGGACTCAAGGGATCCTCCTGCCTCAGCCTCCAGAGTACCAAAATAGTCAAATTTATAGATACAGAAAGCAGATGAATGGTTGCCTAGGTCAGAGGAGGATTGAGGAGAAAGGGAGGGATTACCGATCAGAAAGTGTTTCTGTTTAAGGTGATCAAAATATTCTCAAATCCGTAGTGATGGCTGCTAAACTCTGAAAACTCTCAAACAAAACAGAACAAAATT